TTGTGAAAATCCTGTGTGTGTGTGTGTGTGAATTGTGAAAAACGTTTGAAACCTTGGGAATTCTAGAAAATGGCAATTGCTGCGGAGTTCATCTCTCTTCTTCCGGTGGAGACTCTTCAGGGGTTGGCTGCGGTTAATGAGGACAAATCGTTGGATCATATGGTAACAAAAAGTTTGAATTCAATTATTAAATTAAGTTTCAAAAATACAAATTTTCAAAACCAAGCTAAAATCTCGGCGCCGCGACACGCAACGCGAACGCTGTGGGGCCACTATTTTCGGGGCGCATACGATTACGCAATGTAAATAAAGCGTGCGCATTGCATGTCGGAAAAAAATTAATAAGAATCAATAAGCTAAAAATCCATAGCTCTGCCTTGCTAGTTACTGAAAGCGCGCCGCGATACGCAACGCGTACGCCCCGATTTAAGGCTATTTTCGGGTCGTAATCGATTATCGCGGCGCGGCGGCGGCGACAGAATCCATGGCTACCACAAATTAGCAAAATCAGATTTAGGAAGGTGTCGTACTGATGCGTATCATAGCGTAGTGTAGCGGAATCCGTATCCAATCGTAATTCGACGTTTTTAGGGTCGTTTCGACAAGGTGGTCGAACTGCTCATCGCACTTCCCCAGGAGATCCAGGTGTATATTTTTGCACATTTTAAAGGACCATTGAAGGCAGCGAATTCTATGGAAGTTACCAAAAATGCGAAAATGAAATTTAGGAGAAAATTTTGGCCCTGCCACAATCGCCGCCAAACCCTGCCGTCCCTGCTGATGTTCGGGTAAGTAATAAAATTTCAAAATAAGGATTTAAATTTCTTTTATCCTTTCCTGTTTTTAATTTGAATATTTCAGGCGAAACTGACCGCCATTCACGATGAGAAGGGCCTCTCGCTGAAGGGGCGACTCGAGAAGACCAGGGTAAATTATGCTTGTTAAAAATTTTTAAAAATATAAATTTCTTCAAAATATTCAAAATTGTTAAATTTAATTAAAGAAAATTTCCTTCCAAAATCGACGCTAAAACGATATCCGGCTACGGTAACCAATTTCAATATATTTTCAGGCTGTCCTGGCAACCCTGCCCGCCGATGTCCATGAAAAGATGAATGCCGTCAAGGCTTGAAAAAAGTTCGATGGATTTGGCGAATAAATACTGTAATTTTGCTGAATTCTCGAATTATATTCCACAAAAACCTTTGCTAGCCTGCCCTTCCAGCGCGAATTGGATTCCCAAAGAATTTCTGATAGCTGGCAGGCACAATAAAATTAGATGTTCAATACCTGCGCCTCCAACGATCCCTGCTAGTTGTCCACTGACTAATTTCCCAAACAATCACTGCTAGCCGACCTTTGAGCAGCCCGTTCTTCCCCAAGAATCTCTGCTAGTCTGCCTCCGCCTAAAGTTCCGAAAAGATTACTGCCATTTGCCTCCACCTCGAGGAAGCCTAAGATTCCCAAATGGTCTTTGCTGGATTGCTTCTGTCTATATTCCTAAAGCATTCCAGCTGGCCTCCCTTTGCCTTTGTTTCTAAACGATCACTGCTGGCCTGCCCTTGGTCTTCATAAACCGACGCTGGAAAATTCTTAAATCGTCTCTGCTGGTTGTACTCGACTTTTTCGGCTGATTTCCAAATTTATTCCCCAAGAATCTCTGCTAGCCCCCTTTCTAAAGTTTGTCCTCCATACTACAAACTACAAACAAGAATTCACGAATGGTCTCAGCTACCTTGCCAGGAAGTTTTTGACAAATTGCGGATTTTCATAGCATTTTTCTTCCCAAAGGATTTCTGCTAACCCCCTTCCAAATTCTGTTCATCCAGCACAAACTACAAAAATAGATCGAGGCCCGGCTTTTCCTCTTTGAAGCCCACTGCGGCGCCAATTATCCCAACAAATCGTCGGGTAGCGTTTTTTGGGGGAGTCTGAAAGCGGAAAAGAGAGAGAGAGAGAGAGAGAGAGAGAGAGAGAGAGAGAGCAGGCAGACAGTCACCCCAAAAAAGGTGTGAACCAAAATCTCCCGGGAAACCGTCCCCAAACACACGGAATTCCCCCAATTTTTGTGATTTTCCCCGGCCCTCCAGAAACCCATAGGGCCCCGCAAAAAGAAGATGTGCCCTCGGGGGGCACAAATCAGAGCCCCGGGCCCTGAGGGTATAAATGTCGGCCGGGTGGGCCCTAGCAACTTATATCCCAACCAGGGGCTTCACCTGGATAGCTCGGCTTTTTCTCTGATTCTATTACGATTCCGCGGGAGTACTCTTTACAGTAGCCGGACTACCGTAATCCGGGTACTGTAGAAATTGTTACGTACTGTCACGGTGCCTTTAAATCTGAGGATTTTACACTTTTTTGCCAGCCGCTTTTTATAGTTCTCATTTTAGCAAGATTCCGCGACTTTCCTCTTTACAGTAATCGGACTACCGTAACCCACTTACTTTCAAAATTGCTACATACTCCCACGGTTCCTTTAGAAAGGAATCTTTTAATTTTTAAAAGCCGTAAGCCTCCCTGACTAGCCATTTATCCAAGATTCCGCATGTTCCTTCTTTACAATGGTCGAGTTACCGCATTCCAGCGGCTATGAAAGACGCCTTTAAAACTCGGCACACTTTTCATTTTTGATTTTTCATATTTTCCCCTACCGTGTTCGCGTTTTCTCTCTCTCTCTCCATCTCTCTTTCTCTCTCTCTCTCTCTCTCTCTCTCTCTCTTCTTCTCTCTCCCCTCTCTCTCCCCTCTCTTTCCCTTTAAAAATGGCAATAAATGGAATTAAATGCTTCCTACAGCACCCTCCCCTCTCTCCCACAACCTCCTCTTCTGCTGAAATGTCTCACCATGCTGAATTCATGGCTGTCCTCCCCGAGGATGTCCGTGCTAAGGTCAAGGCCCTTCATGCCGATGACTCTCTCGGACACTTGGTACGTTTATTTACTATGGAAGTACGGCAAACCACTCACAGTACGGTAGGATACGGTATCATATTGTAGCGTATCGTAACGGAATTTCGATTTCACTGGATTTCGGTATTCTTTAATTTTTCTGGGTTGAAATACGGTATAAAATGTGGATTTCACGTCGCAATCGCAAAATACGACAAAGCACAGCGGCGTACGGTAGCGTACGGTAGCGTACTGTAGCGTATCCCAACGTGCAGTAACGGAATTCATGGATTTTACAGTAATCCGGAATTTTTCTGATTTTATGGGCTCAAAAATGGCATAAAATCCGTATGAATGCACCAGAAGTACATTACTGTAGCGTACAATACCGTAGCGCAGCGCACTGTAACGTACTTTTTTGTCGGTTTTAGGATTTTGTCGCCATACAACAATTTTCAACTTTTCCAGGCCAAATAATCGTGTAAAAATTGGGGATTGCGTGGCAGAATATGAAAGTACGATAAGGTCCGCTACGATACGGAGGCGTATAGTAGCGTACAGCAACGTAAAGTAGCGTACTAAGCGAAATTGGAATTTTTCCTTTTTCAGGAGCGTTTCGACAAGGTGTCGGATCTGATTCTGTCGCTGCCAAAGGACACTCAGGTATATTTTGAGTACCATATTTTAAAGTGGATTTTTCTACCGTAACCCAGCCTACAGTATCCTTTTTAGGACAAGCTCCTCGCCCTTCCCCAGCCCCCATCAAACCCCTCCGTCCCAGCCGAACTGCAGGCCAAATTCGACGGTATCCACAAACTGCCAACGCTGAAGGAACGATTCGCAAAGACCAGGGTACGGTAGCATTCCTACAGTTCGCCAACGTAAGACTAGACTTCTCTGTCTTTTTTGACACTTTCTGATTTTGAAAATTTCAGGAGGTGATCGCCTCTCTCCCTGAAGAAGTCCGCGACAAGATCCGCGCCGAAATCAAGTCCAAAATGGGCCTGTAAACGCGGTGTCGCGTGTACACTTACGGAATTTTCGATTCTTCTCGAATGTTAATGGAATAAATATTTTTGTAGCGGCAATGAAAATCCAATACAATTTTTATTCTACAAACTGACAACCATTTTTGCTTCAGGAAATTTTTATGACTAGGTTAAAATTCAAAAAGCCGATTTATTTCCCAAACTGACAGCCAGATTACAAATTTCTTTGGTCAAAACAGAAATCCACGAAATAATGCTTGGAGTTACGGTAGGATTACGGTATGGTATGGTATGACGGTATGATTTCCAAGGTTCACATTTTAATAGTATGCTTCATTTGGCCCCTGACACCCATCAGAAGATCCTTCGGCATCGACGCGATCACTTCCTGGAAATTGGAGGGTACTGTAGCGTACGTTAGGATACGGTATCCGGGGCAACTTATAGAATCAGCCAAAAATTTCCATACCTTATTTTTGGCGAGTTTTTCGCGGAAACTGAGCGTCGCATCATTTCGAATGGCATCCATTTTGGCCTGGAAAATGGATAAAATTACGATAGGGTGTAAAGAAGTGTACCTTGCACTCCGGGACCCCATCAAATACCGTAGGCGGCGGGAGGGCCATGATTTTTTGCTGGAAAAAGGTACGGTAAGTGGCTACGGTAGGCGGAAAAAATCTAACTATTTTAGACGAATTTAAAATCCATAAAATAACCAGGTTTTAGCTATAAAAGTCGAAAAAATAACTTTTTAAACTGATCCAAAAGTTTTTGAAGATTTTAAAAATCTACCATAACCCCGTAATGAATTCGATTAATTTAAACAATTTAGATTTAAAATTCAGAATTTCAATATTGTAACATTTCAAAATTAAATTTTTAAAAGTAATTTAATTTTTTAATTCTTTAAAAAAGGACGTCAGAACATAAAAATCGTACCTGAATCTCGGGAGATAAAGCGAGGAGCACCTGGCACACCTTCTCGTATCGCACCTAGAAATATTCTGGGTTTTTCGGCACTTAAAGGGACAGGCAAGGCAACGATCCCTATGGATTGTTTTGCGTCGCGACACGCAACGGACACGCGGCGTACTAATATTATAATGTTCGTAATACATTACGTAATGAAATTCGTGGCACGCGTTGAGTGACGCGGCCCGGTAAATCTCTAAGATCCATAAGAAAGTGCCTTGTCAGTCCCTTTAAAGCACGTTTAAAGGAACCGGCAAGCGATTGACGTACTAGAGGATCCATTTGATCGTCATTGTGCCAGACAGAAATCTGTTGAAGGGCATCTGGAGGGAGGATTGACATTATGGACGGGTGGAACGGCATCGTTGCGGTTGAGGATGGACTATATTGGGTTTTGAGAGAGAGAGTGAGAGAGAGAGAGAAAGCGTAAGTATGAGAAAAAGCTGCCATCAATTTCCTCAATGATCTCTGCTAGCTGGTGGCTCAATTCCTTCGTGAGTTTTGTTAGCTTGCCTAAAAATCCTCAATATTCTCTGCTGGATGACCCATAAATTCCCCAATGATCTCTGCTCGTCGCCCCAAGGGTGCATTCCCTAAGGACTTCTGCTAGCTTGCCTAAATTACCGAATAATCTCTGCTAGCTGGTCTAAAATTCCTTAATGAGCTCTGCTAGTTGCCCCAAAATTTCCTAAAAATCTCTGCTTGGCTGCACCAAGTAAAAATTGCTAAGCGCTCTCTGCTAGCTAGCCCGCAACATGAATCCCCAAATGCACTTTGCTAGCCTACCCAAGTCCATAATTTTCAATGTCTATAACACCTAGTAAATATTTACAAAATATTCAGAATATGTAAGCTCGGTTATTCCGTTCCTTCCTCGCTTCTGATTCCGTTTAAATATCCCCTCCTGGTTGTGGTATTTGTGCCCTCAGTCATGCCCTCTTATTCCCTTCCCTCTCTCCTCTTCCCCTCCTCTCTCCCCCTCAAAAGAGAAAAGAACCTCGAGAGGATGACGATCTCTGCTCCCCCAATGACTTTCCAGGCGTTTTTTTGGATTTTTGAAGTCGACGGGGCCATTTTTTGAGCCTCACAATTTGTCAGCGAGCATGATCTATGAATTTGGAGGAATTTGCACACAAAATACAACGAATTTTCGCCCGAAAATTGCGCTGAAAAGAAGCTGAAGCATTTTTGGATTTTCGAGGCGAACATGATCTACGAATTTTAGGGCAAATTGCACAAAATACAAGTACTGTTGACGGGAAATTGGCTTTATAGCGATGCTAAACGGTGATTTTTGTAAATCTAAACACGATTTTTTTGAATTTTTTTGTTTTTAAGGGTAAAAATCTCAAGAAATCAATAATTCCTTCGAATCCCTTTGAAAATGCTCGTTATATCAATAGTAAGCGATTCCCGAAAAAGCAAAAACTTGAAGCCCAAAATGATCTCGGGCGGGATCGAACCGCCGACCTTCTGTGTGTTAGACAGATGTGATAACCACTACACCACGAGACCGCTGTGGGAGAGGGGAAAGGGAGAGGGTTTTCAGTGGCAAGCGCCGACACCTGACCAGGGCAGAGTCAGTCGGCATTTGCGAATTCGAATCTGGCGAATTTTGCAAATTAATTTTGCGAATTCTCAAATTCGTGTCATTTCAAAAACGCTAATAAAACCGATATTCCTGATTTTTCCGTGCCCGGCAGCGCTGAGCCTCGGCTTTTACTTTTCTCAGAATTAGGAATGCTGATAGACCTGTTCTTCTCATCATTTCCGTTTTTTAGAAACCTAGACATTTTTAGTTTTCTAAAACAAATCAATGCTTTTTGCACCACTCAAAAATTCAGCATATTTCAGATTTTCGGCGTTTTCCGCTTTTAAAAAACATTAAAATGACAAATTCATCCCAAACATACCCTGACTAGACTATATTTTCCGGATTTTTCAGGATTTTACGCTTGATGAGTCAAATATAGGACGTTTCACGTAGAGTTATTTCATAGAAAATACTACGCCTAAGCCTCTCATTTTCCAAAAAAATCGAAAATTGGAAAGTTCAGGGCTATCATGTCGCGAGGAATTCTTTGTAATTTGTAGTAAATTTCTCTCTCTCTCTCGCTCTCTCACTCTCACTCTCACTCTCTCGCTCTCTCTCTCGCTTCTACAAAACAATTTATGCGGTTTGATTACAGTATTTTTAAAGGGCAGTCCATATGGTCACTTGGTATCGTCGTGTAAACGTTATAATCTGAAAAAGTATGCTTTTTAAAGTACCTTAAAGAGATGAGGACGGCATCTGTTGAACCCCCCTTGGGGAGGGGGGTTCAACAGGTCCCGCGGCGATCTCGCGCGAGAGAGCGCTCCCAGGGGAGAGGCGCAGAGACATTTTCGTTCCCTCGCGTAATCGATTGACTTATGCCGCCCCTATCTCTTTAACCATACCTTAAATAACAGAATTCCCTCTTAATGAATATAACACATGCCCACATCTGTCAATAGGATTTGGAGATGATTTTGAGAGTTGAAGAAGGCATGAGCCAGCAATGGAATGAACGAAGAATCACGATGTATCCTGGAAAGGGATTTAATCAAAAACAATCTTAATCAAAAAAATGTGATAAAAACAGCTTGTTACCGTATTAAAAATTGTTATACTTTAACGACACGAATAATTCAAAATTTTGAATCTAATGAGTTTGAGTTAACCTATTTTCCGGGGTTTTTATACCGTGTTTCAGTTTTTTTGCTATTTTTATCACAGTAAACCTTATGAAAGCTAGTTTTCTCAAAATCTAAAAAATTTCAATTTTACAGATACATTACGCCAAATAAATCCCAAAAATTCTTACGGCAAATAAAGCAGTCATTAAAATGACGGCAGTCCCATAAATGCCCATCCGCCGGCCATTTCCCCGCTTCCTGGCCGCCAAAAAGACGAACGTGAAGGAACTTTTGTGGAACCGCTGAAAAGTGATCACAGGGCAGGCTAGCAGAGATCCTTTGCAAAAATTCACCCAAAATCGGTTAAAATTCCTTAAAAAAAACGTACTCAACGATATGCTGGTGAATTTAGGAATACTGTGGCCCGTTCGTGAAGGCGAACAGATTAAAGTATTTCTGGTCCCTAAATTTTGATTATTCTGTTAAAAAATGAAAAAGCTCAGGGACCTTTGCATTATCGGGTGCGGCCGATTTTTTGTAAAAGCCCAAAAATTCCTAGCAACATAACATTAAGCGTTTTAATAGTGTTTTCAATTGAATTTACCTGTATTTAAAGTGGGGGAAACTATCCAGAAAACCTTTTTAAACTTTTTAGAAAGGTAGAATTCTGATGGTAAATCAGAGTTTTTCTATCCAATATCCTTATTTTTGTATTTTTGCTCAAAATTTGTAACATTTTTAAGTTTAGGAAGCATCAAAATAGTTTAAAAACGCTCCCTCTATTCGTATTTTGAGAGAACAATCACCCCCGATAATGCAGAGGCACCAAAGACATTTTAAAACCAAGTTATTAAATTTTAACAGAACTCACTTGAAGACGCGATTCATCAGGAGTGTGAGCAGGAGGGCATTGAGAAGATAGAGATGAGGGATGAGGAGAATGGAGAGAAATAGTGAGAACAAGAGAAGAGAGAGACGACGATTCGAGGAGAGAGAGGGAGGGAGCAGAGGGAGGAGCGAGAGAATCGGAGGGAGCACCGAGTACAGAAGCAGCGGCAGCCACGGCAGGAATTGCTGGAAATTGGATTTATTTTGCATTTTTTCTAAGATCCTACCTTATATAATTTTGGAGTGTATGTGTGTGTGTGTGTGTGTGTGTGTGTGGATGTCACTTTCGAGGCCCGATTTGAGGGCCTTCCTGTGCCATAAATGCTCTAATTCTCCGTCACCCGGGGGAATCGACCCTTCTGTTTCCGATGACGTTTTCAGAATTTCGATAAAATACAAGTTTACAAAGTTAAAGGCGGTTTTATTCATTTTTGGGGGTACCTGAGGGCTAATTTGCATAATGCAAAAAAATACAAACTTCCTCATTCTTGCCAGTTGCACTCGCGCGTGTGGTCGGGGCGGGGGGGGGGTCCGCAGGACCCGAGCTATCAGAAAGTCAAACTTTTCCATGCAAAGGCCGCATTCCAGCGCCCAAGGCCCGCGAAGCGGGTTTTGGGCGCTGGTCTAACTATTATTTTGCAGGGTATCCCAAAAAAATTCCCCCCCCCCCCCCTAGCCGGCCGCAGACCTATCCGATTTTTACGATTTAGGTATCTATCGAAAGCCCTCGAAAAGGCAGGTCACGGGCGGGCTATCTTACAAAGGCCTCCTGCTGATGAATCCCTATGGCGCGCCCCTGCGCCCCAGTTACAGTACCCCACCCGACCGCGCCCCCATTACGCTTGCTAAAGGTCCTAGCCCAGGCAAGTAAGACAAAAGCAACAACTTTATTGGAGAAAACAATGTAGCAAAACAAAACAACAATAACAAGAAGTTCAACAGCAAACTCGACGAGTGCGGCAAGGTATCAGGCTTGTAGATTTTTCTTTGTGCTTTCCTCTCGCTTCTTCTTAGCGCTCCGCGATTGCATTTGATAATTTTGCGATGACTTTCTGATAGGAGCGGTCCCTTGGTGGTGGGGTGCGATTCGATTCTCTTTGTCTTGCGTTATGGAGGAATACTGCTCATCAATTGTTTGCTTAAGTTTTTTGAGCATTTTAATATCTTGGCTGCCGCCAATCGCGAAATAAATTGCGTTCAGGGTCTAGAATTTATCTGTGAATTTGTCCAACCACTTACTGTGCGCACATCATCGACAAGTTCGATGCGAACGATGCGGTCTTCAATAATTGAATTCTTTAAGGTGAGCTGCGGGATATTAGGAGCGTGATTGTGTGTATATATAAAAACGTCCTTCATCGTCTTCAGCCTCGGGCGGTAGATGAAAAGCCCTGATATGATCGGCAGCCGCCGACTTCGTTGGGAAACGAGCAGCACAATCAGGGCAGCTCCAGGAACTTGGGTCAGGAAGTTGGAACTGGCAGCAAATGTGATCCGCCACGGTACAGGGTGTCGCCATGCGCGCGCATGTTGCAAGCGCGGTCAGTGTTATCAGAGCATTTCGGAGCATTAGATTTTATCATCTTCTGCAAGCAAGTAGTATACAGAGTTTCAAGCATGCGGCCAGAAAAACCGAAAATATTTTTCTCTGTTATTGTAACGAGATAGAAGGACAAAATATTATGTTCCCAGACCATCTGAAAATCATTCTATTCACTTTATAGCTTTTAGCTTTTTGATTTATATTTACTTTTTGTTTTTCTTATTGACTTTCTGTCTAGCTTTTACTTTCTGATTGAAGATTAATCAGCGTAATG